GTTGAGTTAAATAAATAATCAAAGAGTATTACAAGGTCAAATAGCTAATTCTCTCTCAGACAGTACAAGGTACTTGGCATTAATGAGCTGCACCTCACCAGGCTTTTATGGGATAAACTTCATTTTGAGAGATTTATTGCTCTGAAATGTCTGGCAAGTGATGCTGAATATTAGTTGCAGTAAGAAGAATTGAAGAATGATCACTGAGAAGGCATTGCCAACAAATTCTTCTCTTTTGGCGTGGCCTGTAAGTTACAGAAATGTAGGATTCTAATGGGACTTTCACACCCAGACACAGACTGTAATTCCAAGCCTTATTAATGAAAGTTAGGATTTGCAGAGAAGCATGGTTAGAGCCATGGAACTCTCAGTGTTTAAGATTTGCATTCTGCGTACAAAACAGCTGGTAACACTCAACTCCTGTGTGTTTCAGTGTATAGTTGGTATCTATATCCTCCATTTCCAGACACCAGAAAAATTGGGTACTGTAGATCACACAATCTATCCATAGGGAAGTCAAATACAGACTTTGAGTGAAGTCACCGTGCTTAACTTTTGCATTAAACTGTTTCTCGTTGCATTTAAGGAATGCACGTGCATTGTATTTTTGGTCACTCAGGGATAATTGCTGAATTTTCTCTGCTTTTGGTAAAATTTTTTTTTTTTCTCTGCTTTTGGTTGGACCTTCTGGAGGCTGGAGATGATACTGCTGGTGGAACAGCGCATTTGGGGAGCAGAGTTAAGCTTGTTGTGACTGTTTTCCTATGAACCATAGGCATGCTGATTTTAAGCTATGTATCTCTGATGGAAATAGAAGAAAAGCCGTTTTTGCTTCCTGGTTTGGAAGGAGGTATGCTGTGTGCAGCTGTGGGTGGTGGTGTTGATATGCAGTCTCCAGTACGCAGTCTGTACTTTGAGTGCATTAGGGCAGAAATAAGTTCCTGAATTTAGCTGCTGCTAACTCCAAGACCCTGTTTGATCAGTTATTGTTCAGCAAAGCTGAGTTAGTAGACTTGACTCACATTTTTTAAGACCAATCTCTCATTTCAAATTATTTGAAACACAGCTTCCCTTCCTCCACTTTAAACTCCAAAGCTGCATGATAATTGCTTCTTAATTGTTCTTTGATCTTTGCTGAATTCAGTCTGGCTTACTCTTGCTGTCACTTCTCACAGGGATGGTGCAAAGTGTGATTTGTCTGTGCATCCTACACAGAACAAAAGGAGCTTATATGGTTTTGCTTATAATTTCTTTAGTCCTATTAAATGAATTAGCTAAAATTGAGAATTCAGCAATGAGGCATACTGAAAATCTTGTTCTCTGGCAAATCCATCGCTTGCTGTGTCACCTGGTATTATTTTGTCTTCCCTTATCAACTAGTTGTGTTTTTTTAATATAGAGAGAATGATGTAGTCTGAGAGACCTATTTCATGTGTACTACAGCAGAACTCAGTTTAAGATGGAGGGGATAAAAATAGTTCAGAAGACTTTCCACGTTTAATATGAAAGTTTTCATTTGTTGAAGTCTAATAAGAAAACAATTTTTTTCTGTGAATTTGGTGAATGACTACAAAGGTTCCAGACAGCACTCTCAACTTTCATTGTGCATGTTTCTGACTTTCTCTTTGTGTATTCTGAGATTTTATGCAAAATTCACTTGAAAAGACTTGGATTCAGAACAATAATAATAATTTAACAAATCTTAGCATGCAATAAAACAGCATATTTATTTGAAATACCTCAGTGTCAACACATTTTACAAGGAATACTTGCACAAAGTATTCCCTGCACAAGAAGTAGAGGCAATACTTAGAGGTGGAAATCCTGGTGTCTTTTAGCACAGGAGACTATCAAGAGCTTTACCAGGAGTCTCATTTCAAGGGCTGTATGTTCCCTGTGAGCCACAAGCTGTTCTCTTGGCTTAGGGACAAAACAGTGTATAGCCCTTCTTTCTGTTGCTGCTATTTCACTGCAGCATTCCTGGATATTAATGTTCTTCCCTCATTCATTTAGGTTCTCTTTCTATTTATGGAAAAAAATGGACAAGCTGAATCTTCTGTTTGTCTGGTGGTGGCCACTGGAATATTTAAGCTCATGGAGGGAAGGTTTGGAGTGGATGTCAGGGAGAAGTTCTTCACAGAGAGAGTGATGAGGTGCTGGAACAGGTTGCCTAGAGAGGCTGTGAATGCTCCATCCCTGGAGGTTTTCAAGACCAGGTTGGACAGGGTCCTGGGCAACCTGATCTAGTGCCAGATCAGGAGGTGGAAGGTCCTGCCTGTGACAGGGGGGTTGGAACTTGATGATCCTTGTGGTCCCTTCCAACCCATTCTATGACTCTAAGATATATCAGCAAGCTGATGATACCATTGCTGTGTACTGGTGAGTATAGCTAGCCACAGCTTTTTATAGCTTGGATGGGAACATTTTACAGAATCACAGAATCATAGAAACACCAAGGTTGGAAAAGATCTGCAAGATCATCCAGTCCAACCATCCACCTATCACTAATAGATCTCACTAAACAATATCCCTCAGCACAGAATCCAAACATTCCTTGAACACCTGCAGGGTCAGTGACTCCACCACCTCCCTGGTGCCCTGTGCCCAGTGCCTGACCACTCTTTCAGAAAAGTTCATAACATCCAGCCTAACTCTCCCCTAAGGCGGCTTGAAGCCATTCCCTCTGGTTCTATCATTGTTACACGTGAGAAGAGACCGACCCCCAGCTCACTGCAACCTCCCTTCAGGTAGTTATAGAGAGCAATAAGGTCTCCCCTGAGCCTTATATATATTACCTTCCCTGGCACTGAGGTCAGGCTAACAGGCCTGTAGTTCCCCGGATCCTCCTTACAACCCTTCCTGTAGATGGGAGTCATGTTGGCAAGCCTACAGTCTTCTGGGACCTCACCAGTCAACAAAGAGCACTGATAGATAATGGCGAGCAGTTCGGCTATCGCCTCCACCAGCTCCCTCAGCACTCTTGGGTGAATGCCATCCTGCCCCATGAACTTGGGCAGTCCAGCTGGAGTTTAATAACTGTTTCGGCGAATCTCTAGGTGCCATTATGAACTTTCTTAACTCCTTTTCTTGTTTCCAGAGCATTTAGTTTTAAGTCTCTCATATGATGTTTTCTCAGTACGATGTGAAGAATCACAAGCAAATGAAAATTAGAGTAATATTGAAAAAAAAAAAAAAAAAAAAGAGAATAGGATACAAAAATCTGTGATTTTCTGCTCAGAGAATTTCATTTTTATTAAGTTCATGAAAAGCTTAGTAGTGCACTCTTCAGCTGGTAAAATATATCTTGAGATAGTGGAATTAGCACCGTTAGCACTTGAAATCTCCAACGGCAATACACAGATACATACTTTTATGTCTATGAAACAGATTGGCAGTATCACCTAAGTGCAGCTAAAGTAATGCAACTAATGAAATAATAACACATGGGAATAAATAAAATGCTGTTCAACAGGTGAAGAAATGCTTTAAGTTAAGTATGAAATCTGTGTGTAGTTCAAATAATGTTCGTGTTCTGTCTCAGGACCATCAAAGTGAGAGTTAGGTCTGCCTCTGTATACTTAATATGGCCTGGTGCCTTTCCAACAAATATTTTATTATGGGAACTCTCCCAGTGATTTTGGAATGTGAGCAGCATTTTGGACCTCCTTATGGATTTGAAAGTGATTTTTTTTTTCTCTGAAACCATTGAACAGAGACAAATGTGCGGAGAAGTGGAAGAATGAAAAAGTTCAGTCCCATTTTTAGGCTGTTAAAGGCAAATACAAACATTTCTGTGCATACCCTCCCCTCCCACCTGATATTAAGACACAGCTAAAATATTTTGCTAAAAACTGTGGAGTGTGGTTAGAGCTCTGGCAGATTTTCCTTTTATGCCTGCTGCAATTGTTTTGTTACAGAGAATGCTGTTTCTATCTCTTCTGCACAGGTAGTTGGGCAAACCTGCAGTCAGAGCTCTGCTTGTCCTTGCTTAAATAAAAAAGCTGGGAGGATGAACTCAAGTCTTCTGCACTGTACCCTGATACTGAGCTATTCTGAAATGATGCCATGCAAAACTTTGTTTCCTTCTCCTATGGGAGAAAAATATCATTCCAAGCCTTGAGAGTTGCTATAAAATAAAACGGCTGGTGGATGCCTTACTGGTGGTGGGAACAGATGAGGATTTCAGTCTTGGTTCCTAAATGATCCTCCTTACTGCAGTATTTGACCTTCGTGCACATCTCCCTAAACTAGCATTGTAGATGCCTATTTCACACATGGGAATATGGAAGGAAATCTGTTGCAGAGCTGGGATTTCATTCCTCTCCATACAAGCACCTCATCCAGTGCAATACTCCCAGGATCTTTGTTCTGATGACTGTGTATTTTCTGTATACAGCCAAAATTGTTACTGATTCATCCAACATTTCCTTAGGTTGTCATCTATCTCTGCAAGTTTTGTGTGCAATTTTTCCATTGATATGGATAGGAATAAGAATAAGAACCCAACTTAATTGCCTGAATACAGAGTAAATTTTGTGAAATATTCTCCTTGACATTGCTGGCTTTTCTTTTTTTTTTTTTTTTTTTTTTTTTTTAATTCATCTATTAGTTGTATTCTGAAAACAAAGACTTTTGTTTTTAATTTTCTTTTTCTTCTTAGCTTGAAACAAAACAGCTTTACAGTTACCACGAATAGCTCCTAAGACTTACGGAAAATTAGCAAGGTTATAAAACCTACAGAGTGTGTGTGTGGTTTGCTGTTACAGCTGCACTTTTAAGAAAAAGTAATATACGCACTTGTCCTCCTTATAAAAGCATCTATAAATTAACACTCTTTGAAACATTTCTGATGTGTAGCACAATTTTTATGTATTACAGCCAAAATGTGGCTCCTCCATTTGTAACACTTCAGTCCACTTAAAATATCATGCTAAGATCCAAGGGGTCTCCATTCTGGTCCTTTCCTTGGCATTTTCTGACCATGTCTTTTTCTTTCACAGGGTTGAGGTACGGGATGGCTGTGAGGTGTGGAGGACACGAGCGTGGGATTTCCTGTGTGTGGCAAGTGGACATATGAAGCTATGTTCCAGAGGACTTCCTGCAGGACCTCGTCCTGGCTCTCATCCACCCATGCCTCCACAAAGGTTGTGCCTGAGAAGACCCACGAGGCAGCAGTGAGTGTGACTGTGGCTGGAGTACCACATCCTGCCCACCTCCCCGTGGGTTGCTGGCCATTGTGCCTTTGTCAGCTGCTGGGTGCGTTGGGTGGGCTGGTGCCTGCATTGGGAGGGCCTGCTGACACCTGTGCTCCTGTCTGCTCCAAGTGCTGGCACAGCCGTTTCTCTGCCGTCCTACAACTTCGAGGGTGTGCTTCAGAAACATGGGACAAAGTTCTTTCTTGCAGCAATTAGAGTGAAGAGGAGAAACTTAAAGCAAATGAGAAGGATTGAAGTTAGCTCTGCTTCCCAGGAGTCTTTCTTAAACTCTCTATAATACGAGTCAAAATACTACTGATTCTACTAAATCTGCAATTTTCTTCCTTTCTGTGTATTGACACCAGGACAAAGCAATTACAGCCCCTGGAAACACATGAGTGAAGCGAGTGAGGCAGAGATATTAGCACTGCTGTAGTCCTTCCCCGCCTTGTCCTCTGCCTTTATTAATCTGCATGTGTAAATAAAACTGAAATTAAACTCTTAATTTATCACCATGTTGTGGTGACAGCATGCCGGACCGTAATACTTTACAAACACGTAGCACTACATTAACATCAGAAACAGATTCTTCCCCTGAGAGAGGGGAAGATTTCAAAGAATGCAGAAGGATACCACAGGGCTGTAATCCGTCTTGTTGCACAGAAAACAACCAATTGTTGAAACCCTCAGAGGGGGAGGTGGGCCCAGAGATCTGCACAACACATGTAGGCTGTGACTTTTCAGCCATTAAGAATGAAGATGGGAAATTTTGAAAGAAAGAAGCTTGGGGGGGGGAAATAAAGCCACCCAAAAAAACAAAAAAAAAAAAACAAAAAAAAACCCAAAGAAAACCACCCCAAAAACAAAATAACAGCAAAAGAAACAAAAACAAAACAAAACAAAACAAAACATGGTAAAAGGGAGAAGATACTGTATGGTAATAACTCAGTGTGACTGCCCAGAGAAGTGCACTACTCTGAGGACCATCCCTCTGTATGCAGGCAGTCTCTGCTACAACAGGGTGAGCCTCTGCCCACATCCCTGTGCTGTCTTCACCTCTGCCATCCGTAGTTGTAGGGCACTGAGCTGCCCCTCTTCTCTCTGTGGGATGCTAGCTGATAGGCTGAGATCCACCACGGCCATCTGAGTGGACGTCCTGTGGTCCTGAATTAGCTCAGCACTTAAATACATGCTTAAGGGGTTCTCTGAATTGGGTGCTGTGTGCTTTGCTGGCTCCCTCCACATCTCCTGGCTCCCTGAGTGCTTGGCTTCACCCCTGCTTTACCGTTTAGGATGCTCCCGCTGTCCAAGGCTCGGCCCCTCTCCATCTCCACAGCACTCAGGAGTGCCTCACAAAGTAGGTCGTTTTGGGGCTATTTTGTGTGAGAGCTGTGCTCGTTCTGCCCACACCCAGCCTTGCGGGTAGGAGCACATTCTGTCCAGCCGAGAGCCCCACAGAGCATGGTCCCCACTGGCATGTCTGGCAGCTGCCCCTCCTTGCTGCACAGTCTGCAGAGATTTAAGTGATTTAAAACCCTACCTCTGAGGGTTTTGGTGGGAATAAGCTACAGATCTCCTGAGCCACTTCATTGTTAAATAAAGTTCCCACCCTCAGACATCTAGGATCTCTTCAAAATGTTGTCCTCACTCCTGCATTCAACTTCAGATTACAAAACTCTCAACAGTGTTTTGATTCCTACAGAGGAGAGTTTATTTGCTCAGTCCTGCTCTGCTCCATCAAAGAGACCTCACTGGGAGAAATCAGAGGGCCCCATTCATCAGGGAGGAAATCCTGCTTGCAGTAGCAATGCTGTGCAAGAAAATGCAAACCTGCCAAGCTTTACTTACCTTAGCCCAGTGTGTGGTGAGGCATGCTGATAGATGCATGGTTCCAACACGTTTTCGAGACTGGCCAGGGAAAACTCGTCAACTGGAAGGAGCAGGACATGCATGCCCCTGCCACCATGTGGTTCATGGATTCCAAGCCCCTTGGAGTGGCACAAGAGTGGGAGCAAAGAAAGTGTGCAAAGCAGCCGTGAGTGAAGTACATGCAGCTGGAGGCATCTCTCAGGGGAAGAGGAAAATGGGAGAGCTGTGAGCAATGATTAGCTGTAGCCATTAAACTCAGAAAGCAGTGACGTAATTTTGGGAGTGTGATTGTACCATCTGAACTATCCTAGAAGAATGTCAAGTGCTGTGAAAATAACACCATATGTTCAGAGAGCCTGATCTGGAGGTTTCCAAACCACAGGGCTGGATTTTGCTGCGATACTTTGCAGATGCAACTCATAGGGTGTCAGACCCTGAGAACCTGTCCTTTGCATCCCTTCTTGGGGCAGCCATGCCAAAACCTCTCTGGAACCACGTGGACTGGCAGACAGGTGGATGCCATGGAGTGTTTTCTGCAGGAGCCCACACGACTTATGCCGGACTGTTGTGCCACTGTGCCACCACACATCTGGGTGGGATCCCATGACTTCCTCCAGCAGAACCTGGATTCATGTTGTGGAGGAGTTGAACCAGCAGGCTGACACTGCCCACTGCCTTGCAAATCAAAAAAACCACCCCGATACCCCTTTAAAAGTTGTATTTCAGGCCTTCATAAAGAAGCCTATAAGGAAGTCTGAATTAACAGGATCGTTTTGTTTGGAGATTTTCCTCCAGGACTGAGGCTGTATGTATGGGACAGACTCAGAGCTTTAGCATTTGTGTTAAGATCAGCTTACAATTTGATATTTTTGATCAAGTAGTGCTGGGGGGCAGATGTGTATGTCTGGGTGCCACAGCTGGGCACTCAGCTGTGCAGTGCTGCCACTTTGAAATGGGGGAGCAGAGGGAAAAGCATGCCTGCTGCCGCTGTGAAAATTAATATTTCTGCAATTCACCTGCAAGAAGCATACCCCATCAAGTGCTGCATTTGAGAAATAAGTATTTCTCCCTTCTAGGCTTGGAAAGAAAGGGCCTCATTGAAAGGAAAGAAAAGAAATCCTGGTGATTCAGCTGAGTGGAGTGCAATGTACTCAGAGAAAATAAGAAAGGAATGAAAGTGTTAGCAGAGACTTGGTTATGGCAGTGGAGGGGTATTAGCCAAGTCAAAATGGATTGTCAGACTAGGCTCTTGTTTGTATAACCTCCCATGTTCCTTGCACTGAGTCAACATCTAGCCATCTGGGATGGGGGAAGGGAATAACTTTTTTTGCTTAGAAAAAATAAAAACACGCAAAAATCAGTTAAATTTATATTTCTCTTTTAACGGAAGAAGTGTTGAAAAGGAAAACATACCTTTTGGAGTGAAGCATTTGTTTTTGTTCTTTATAAGTACTTGTTTGAGTTCATGTTTGTTAAATGGCTTGTAGTTATTTAATCATGGGGATTTCCTTTGCTAACATAAAAATAGGTGTGATTGAAAAATTCATAGCAGGAAAACAAAACTGCCTTTCACCCACTTGGACTTGTTTGATTTGATGAGATATTTGTAAACCTCTGTAAGCACATGTGGCTTATAAGCACGTTTCTTTCAGAAAGGAATATAACTCAGACACAGCTTTCTCAAGAAGACACATGAAGGCTGAAGGAATAAATAATGGCACAAACCACGAATCCACCCAAGACTGAGTTCCCAAGTGCTCCCTGACAATGGAAACTCAAAACAGTTGAATAAGAAAGGCAGAACTACTTGGCTAGCAAAGGTGGATTTTGAACAGCAAATGTAATTTCTTTTTCTGACCTGCCTCCTCACGTATACAAATTCAGTATCATATAGTTAAGACCCCTTGGCTTTGCTAGGTGCAGCACACACGCATTTAAAATGGTAGGAACCTCTTGTAAGTCTACATTTTTGTGAAAATAATGGTGCTGTGTTTTGTGCCACACTGTCCTTGATCCCAGTCAAATGCCATGAGGAGAGGGATTTTGATTGGCTTGGGATAACTTTGGGTCAGGTCTTGCTTATGCCTTGTGCTATGGGGGTGACATATCTGAGAGAAACTTCCATGGCTCTGTCCCCACTGCTCCATAAGGGAGCATGAAACACAGCACAGCTAGCTCACATGTGATTTTGCTGATGAATACAGAGACAAGAGGAGGAGGAGAAAGAAGAAGGTGCAAATGCCAGGATGGAGAACTGACTTCAGCCCTCCAGTGTTACCATGGCTTTTTGAGAGTCAGGGGTTACCATGGAGTCCTCTGCAGCATAGCTGGCTGAAGTCTTGCACTGAAAAAGCATCTGCTGGTGTCTGCAAATAACATCTTTACATGCCTATTGATGTCATCCAATTATCCACCAGAAATTTTCCCTAGAAATCACTCTGCCATTGGAGCTGAGTAATTTTGAATAATAAATCCAGTTGGTGACAGAGCCCTAACATTTTGTTTTGCTATCATGCATGTGGACAGATTTGTTAACTTGCAGAATTCAGTACATCATAATCAGTTTCTGGGTCATTGAAGAGACTTGGCAAACTTTTACTGTGCTTCATAATGTGGGTTTTTGGGGAGGTTTGTTTTTGTTTCAAGTGAAACCAGAGAGAGAGCCTTGTATTTGTGTGTGTTGAAATATGATTTATTTCTTCTGTTTTCAGAAGTTATCTTTGTTTTTGCTACCCACATGGAAAAGAGGAGCTGGTGTAACTCTCTGATCATAAAACAAAAAAAGAAAAAAACAATTATGGAAAAGAAACGTTCAAAGACACTGTTTGCCATTCATTTAATTTTAATTTCATTTAATTCAAATTGTACTGAGCTGTAAGCAACATGTCCTATCTAATTCTGACCCACTAATAAAAAATATTTACTCAGTAAGGGTTAATTTTCTCTCGTGCACAAGGATCTAATTCATTTAAATCCCTGTTGAGCTTTTAGCTCATAAATGAAGTGTTATACGGTGTTGCTGGAGCTCTTGGCATTGGGTGACTTTTTCCCATCATCATGCTGACAAATGAGACATGCAAAATCTGTCCACCTTGCCGTGTCTGTGACTGTGAGGCAGAACGCAGCACCTCTGCAGTGAGCCTCTTGCAAGAGGTCATGTCTGGAGGACCTAATCTCACCCATGGGGAAGGTGGTGCACTTTGCTGGGTAGAAGTCCTGCTGCAGGGCACTCTGTGCTTTCTGAACTTCAAGAGGAGTTTGCTTATTTTGCTGAAAATGCCTACAAAATTTAAGCAAATGTGAGCCTATTTATATCCTCTCAGTTTTTTTCTCTGGTGTATGTGTATTGTTATATGAAGCTATGGAGATGTTATACAGTGAAGTATTTTAGAGTGGTGACGTAATGATTGTGGAGATGCAGGGGTAATACTGTGCCCAGGCGTGTTTTTAACATGCAATGCTGTATCTGAATACGCAAAGTCAGTGTTTGCACATGAGACATAGACTCCTACCCCTATATATGTCAAAATAATAGAAATGCACACAACTATATAAAGATAAATGTATGTGTGGGCTTCGTGTCATGACAATGTATGTCTTAAGGGGTTGTTCATAAGCTTTGTCCTATTGACAAGAGGAAAGGAGACCCTTATACTTCATGTACACATGCTGAGCAGGTTTTCCTTTACTGGGTTCACTTTGTACTCTTCCAGCAAGTTAAAGCAGTCTTTGTATGGGGAGAAATATAATTTGCACATCAGATAATTATTTTTTTGCATCAAAATACTGGTCAAAACTTTGCTTTCAGATGTTTTGTCTTCATTAATGACATGGAAGAGTATGAATCAGCAGAGGCCAAGGAGAGAGACTGTTGTCCTGACATGGATTATTTTACTATAGGATTCACAAACAATTTCAGTGGTGTGAAAA